TATCTGCATAGATCCGAAAACAATATTTTAGAATTGCATAAAATTGTAATTCTTTTTAAAAATATTAAAATTTTGGTGCTAAATTTATATTAGAAGCTGTAAAGTGATATTCATTATAAATTTGTAGATCATGTATAAATAAGGATAAATTTTTATACTAGAAAATTAATTGCCCGGCTCTTCTAAAAAGATACTCGTAACGAACAATGTAATACGGAGTACAAAATTATTAGACTCATCCATACTTATAATAGACAACCTTATTTACCTCCTTTGGCACCTAATTATATACTCGATTTGTCACTAAATAATAGATCACATTTGACTTTAGCAATCACTTGTTATGTAGGAATGTGTCCGATACGATTGTCCTTGTGAAAATCGGTCTCAAAATCCTCTGAAACCAGAAGGAAAGCTCTAATTACCTGAGCTACCCTTCACTCTCAACTCTTTTGGGATTTATTTGTTACTCTGCTATTTTTATTTATTTTTTTGTTGAGAAGATTTCTTAGAACATCAGACAACCACTCACTCTCCTATTATTAGCATCCTAAAATCTCTCCAAATTTTCAAAGTCCAATTCCCACAATTCTATCTTTTAATTTATTCAACTATCATAATTGTTCAACCTTTCTTCTTCAATTCTCCATTTTTTCATATATCTTTTACTATATTCATAAGAGAGTAGTTTTTCAGCAATGAGATTAAATTGTATTTTTTTGAAAGCATTTTGGAATATGTTTATTTATCTAAATTGTGTGTCGCCCAAAAAAATATTAGAGATGTAAAGTTTATTTCATTCATAAAATTAAGGGCACGACATTTATTTTAAAACAAGGTCTCTAAACCGCATTGTTTTTATCACGTCTTCATCATCCGATTATAATATGTATTATTCTAACTATGCTCTAGGGTATGTTCTCTTCACCTTAAGAAATTAAGTTTTAAATCTAATTAGTTATGAATAACGATTAAAAACTAAATTGAGTTTTGATACAATTTCGTTCACCACAAAAGTCAAATATGATCTAATTTTTAGGTGCAAAGGTACAATGTTGGTGTAGGTATTTTGTTACATACTTTTCTTACAATAAATACTTTTGTTTAAAATTAGCAAGCCTTTTTTTAATGCTTGTCAACCGCATTAAGAAGTACTCGGTAATTTAAAAATATAGACAATGTCGTATTATTAAATAATATAACAAGATCCCATATAACAATGCATTTTCTTAAAAAAAAAAATTCACAAAGGTAGTCAAAGTAGAGTGTGAATTAATAGTGTAAAAATTACTTCATACAACATAAAAAAAATGAAGGAAGTATTAATAATGGGTTATGTCAAATTTCCAAAATCATTTTTTCCTACTAGCATAGAGAATTGGAGAGTGAGAAATTGAAAATTGAAAATTGATCATGATCGATATATGTATTACTAGGAACAATCTTTAGATAAAAGTAATTGCATCTTTAACCGTGAGTGATTATGTTACGAGTGTTAAGACAATGTGACAGCTAATTTGTGAATTAAGCATTAACAATGGATTGGAAGTTGGTGAACAATGAAGTTTATAAGAAAATATACTAGTATATCCATCATCACTAGACACATAAGAAAGCTAGAATAATAATGCAGCGGAGTAATAAAATCCAGGGATAAGATAGTGAATAATATCTATCACAATAATGGTGGGTCTCACTTCACACTCAGGCACCATGCACGTTCACTGATCCTAGCTTTTGTTGTTGCTTATAAATACCACCCTTCATTAAACTTCTTCTAGAACTCACAATAATTCTTAGCTTCATTTATTACAGTACAATTTCAGATCAACAATGGATTTGGAGAAGAAATTAGATGCAGAATATGTTGAAGAAAAGATTGAAGACAGTCCTAAGAAGAAGAAGCGTGGTGGGATTCGAACATTGCCTTTCATTCTCGGTGAGTTTCTTCACATTTTTACATTACAAGTTAGTTCCCCTCTCAACGTGACTATTAATTCTGGACGGAAGATTAATTACCAAATGTACACTTTGAATTCTGCTTACAAGTTAACAATCATCTTTTTCTATGTGTGGAATTTTGTAGTCTTGAGTTGGATTTGAATAATTGTTCTTACCTTAATTTTAGTTGAACTTGCTAATCTAGAAGGCTTTGAAAGAAATGTAGACAAGATTTTTATTTTGATGTTAAATTATACAAGTACTTATACTCAAATGTCATTACTTAATTTCATAGCGAAAGTTTTATCAAATACATCTAATACAATCAGCGGCGAACAATTTATTAGCTGTTTATATTTTCCATGTTTCAACTTATTGTCGTCAACTTTCTCACTATTTTTAAATCTTGCACGGAACATTCAAACTAGTTTCACGTGCACATTAACACGAGTCTTAAATTTTAGCTATGTAGCCAATTCAATGAGTGACAAAAGCAAGTACTAGTAGAGTAGTAGAGCATTATTGATCCATCAATGCTAACAGTTTGAGTTATTTGTAATTTTGCAGCAAATGAAATATGCGACAGATTTGCTGGAGTTGGATTTCATGCAAACATGATAACATATTTGACCCAACAACTGAACATGCCTCTTGTACAAGCCTCCAATACACTCACCAATTTTGGGGGGACTGCTAGCTTTACCCCTCTTATTGGTGCTTTGATTGCCGACTCTTTTGCTGGCCAATTTTGGACTATTACTATTGGTTCTATCTTCTATCAATTGGTATTTTACTCGCTCTTCGATCTCCTTTTATTTTATTGTCGTTTTTATACTAGACTAGATACATGATGGAATCTATATGAACTAAGTCGAGAGGTGATACAAATATCTGTGAGAGTGGATTTAATTTATAGTCGACTCTCAAAGACATTCTTAAGTAGTTTTCGCCTTTTTGGCATATATCTCTAATATTTTAACAAGGCGCTTAGGTTATAGTGTGGCATATTTTGCACACCCATCTAAGAATTTGTAGTGATAAATCTTTTAAAATGCACTAGAGAATAAGAAGACTTGCTAGTTATGATGGTATAATAAAGTACATGTTTTATGTAGGAATTTCTTTTAGTCCTTTGAATTGCATACTCATTGTAATATTTCTAAATTCTCTAATGGTTGCAGGGGATGTTCAGCGTTACCATGACAGCCATTCTTCCGAAACTCCACCCACCGCCTTGCCCAACACAAGTGAACTGTCAAGAAGCATCAACACAGCAACTATGGGTATTATACATGTCTCTCCTCCTAACAACTATAGGGACGGGTGGCATCCGGCCTTGCGTGGTGACATTCGCAGCCAACCAGTTTGACATGAGCAAGTCAGGTGTTGCAGGGCGCAAGTGGAACTACTTCAACTGGTATTACTTCTGCATGGGACTCGCCACACTAACTGCACTGACTGTTATAGTCTATATCCAAGACAATGTGGGCTGGGGTTGGGGGCTTGGAATCCCAACAATGGCTATGACAATTTCGGTTATAGCCTTTGTGATCGGATATCCGCTTTACCTCAAACATAAGCCTGCAGGAAGCCCTTTGGTCAGAATGTTTCAAGTTGCTGTTGCTGCTTGGAAGAAGAGGAATGCTCCGTTGCCAGCTGACCGCAGTTTGCTGTACCAAAACAAGGAGCTTGATGCTCTCATCTCTACTGATGGAAGACTTCTGCACACTGAACAGTTTACGTAAGTTTATATTCTAAAGATCAGCTTTATTTTGTTGATCCGAATCACAACAAGCCTTTAAAGTATCACTAGAGTCATACAAAGTACAATACTAGCTTGAGAAGGTATATAAATCACTACAAATCTCGAAATTACTAGCACACTTCAAATGTACTGCCAATAATATTGCAATTTTAAAAAAATCTGAACTATCAAAGTATTTATGTACTTTATATGTATATTTATAATGGTACATTGCATATGAATGTAAAGTATATAGATTGCCATAACAAAGCTTCATCTCCGATGACATTTGACAGCTTAGAGTAATGTTGGTCTTTTATCTGTAGGTGGCTTGACAAAGCAGCAATAGTAACAGAAGGAGAGGCAAAAGATTCAAAACCACCAAACTTGTGGAGATTGTCTACAGTCCATAGAGTGGAAGAGCTGAAATCTATCATCCGGGTGTTACCGATATGGGCAGCTGGAATTCTGCTCGTGACAGCATCATCTCATCAAGGCAGCTTTGTGCTCACACAAGCTCGGACAATGGACCGTCACCTCTCCTCCTCATTTCAAATACCTCCAGCTAGTCTTTCAATATTTAGCATTGGGACCATGCTCATTGGGCTCGTTGTCTATGAGCGTCTTTTTGTTCCTTTTGTACGTAAATTCACTGGAAATCCAGTAGGCATATCGTGTTTACAGCGGATGGGGATAGGATACGTGATCAACATAGTCGCAACTCTTGTAGCCTCTCTGGTTGAGAAGAAGAGGAAATCAGTTGCTACTCATTACCACCTTTTGGACAGTCCTATGGCTATTGTTCCCATCAGTGTCTTTTGGTTAGTCCCACAATATTGCCTCCATGGATTAGCGGAGGTTTTCATGAATGTCGGGCATCTTGAGTTTCTGTACGATCAAGCACCTGAGAGCATGAGAAGCACCGCTGTTGCACTCTATTGCTTAACGACATCAGTAGGAAACTACTTAGGGACGATGGTAGTCTCAATGGTTCATAGTTACACAGGAAAAGAACACAATTGGCTTCCTGATAGGAACATCAACAAGGGAAGGTTGGAGTACTACTTCTTGCTTGTCTCTGGCATACAAGTAATAAATCTCATATATTATGTTATATGTGCATCGTTATACACATATAAGCCTTTGGAGCAGGTCAAAGACTCTGATGAGCAAGGCGAGGATTTATGTACCCATTCTCCATCGTCAAAAATTTTAGTAGACAAGGATAGTGAACTTGAACTCTCGAAAGGCAAATAGAATTTGATAAACTAGAAATAGCAGGGTTTAACGTATAATTGATAGAAATGTAATCATATTTCACAATTAATTAGCAGAAAACCTTGCTTAGTCACCTGCATATAACTAGATATAGCTTAATAACAGATCAAATTTGTAAGTTGTGCAAGTCTTGTTATGATAAATGCATCTTCAACCTACAATATAGTACACCAGAGCATGAATCTGTCTACGTACGAAATGCACAAACAGAGCAACCTACTTGGAGTTAAGATTTTCCAATTTAAGGAAATATCTGCATGCTTCAACAATCAAATCCAGAATATACACCGCTATCCCTTAACATTCTCTTTTCTTCTTCAACATAGTTCTTTCCTCTACTAGTCTGGCCGAGGTCTCTCTTTCTCTTTTCCTTCTGGGCAAAAGTCTTCTTCTCTTTCTGAGTTATAGCAGTTGCAAGCTCTTCTCCATCTGCTAAAGCAGCTCTTGTTTTCTGACGCTCTTTGTATGATTCCTCACTCTCCTCATCTTTTTTCCTATCCTTGCCAGTAGACCAAGTCCAGTCTCGATTTGGATCCTCCTTCGGTGGAGGCACTTTCAGGACAGATAGGCCTCCTTTATAACCATGGCGGCTCAAAGCTTCAAAATCAATTCCACCGCTTTTTCGTTTCACAGATTTCACTGCATAAAAAGAGCTAAACTATGATATATAATAAGCAAGTTCTGGAGAAATATTTGCTTCTGGAGTTCAGACACAAGGATATGAACTGCCCTAAATCATTTGAGGCTTCCCGTTTCATTGATCAGGACAAATCCTCATAATTTTAAACATTTCTCTGCCTCACATTGACCCTAATGCCACTACATTCTAAGACTTTGATGGCGGAATACCCACAAAATCATTGAATTTAAGACCATGACTTTGAGGCTGTATTCTAGGAAGTTCACTTCAATTCAGTAAACGACAACCAATTTCCTAGCATGAAGAATATTTCCAGCCGTCTCAAAGACACTATCCATGTGAGGAAAAAGAACCCTTCCCCATTTTTTTGAAGGAAACTATTTTACAACGATAAACAAAAAAGAATTGAAAACAACAAAAACTTAAGTACCTTCAGAAGGTTTTCGTGACGACTTCGGCTTCCCAGGTTCATCCTCAGCCTCTGATTCAGTATCACTTGATGATGATGATTCATCTTCTTTATCACTCCATGGTCTTTTCATGGTTTTCTGAACCAAGAGGATCCATAAAAAAATAATAATTAGAACATAAACACACAAACTAACACTGCATTTTTTAACAAAAACATAAATCACAAACAAGTTTGATGCAGAAGATACATAAAATTACCAATGAATCGACCCAACTTCACCCAACGCATCACTAATAGCTCTACCCTCCCTATTCCACTAAAGCTTACCTCCATTTTCATAATCTTTATTCAACCGAACCCTCAAATAACAAAACACAAAACTCGACTTCCCTCATATAGCACGGTATGAAAGCCAGACATCCCTCAATTAGCACAGCACGAATGCAATACATCCCTGAAATAGCAAAGCACAAAACCCCGACATCCCTGAAATAGCACATCATAAATGGCACAAAATCCTCAGTTAGCCGAGCACAAATGCCCAACATCCCTCAACTACCATAGCACAGCACAAACGCCTGACATCCCAAAATAAGCACAACACGAAAACCCGACATCCCTCAATTACCACAGCACAAAATCCCGAAATCTCTCAATCCCAACAAACACGAAAGCCCAATACTTTCACTTTCAGTTCATTTGGAACCCTTATTTCTCCTTCTATACTCAACCATTCATTATAGATTCTGCATATCTCATAGCTTGACAATAAAGTCATTGAATCACTCACATTTCAGTTTAAACCCCAAATCCAAATTGACACTTAGCTTATTCTATCTCCTCTTAAAATCTCATTTTTTTTCCAATTTTCTCATCATAGAAAAATACTTGGATAAGACGAAGTATAAGTAAAAGTAATTCATCCATTTTTCCAAAAAAAAGTTAAACCCAATGTAATCTCCAATAAATTATATGGATAAAATTTCCCAATACTTTACGAACTAAATCTTACATATTTAAAAAAAATTAATAATAAACAGACTTCAAATTCGTAATTAATTGAACATACAGGCAATAATCGTATATAATTGCAACTTTGCAAGAAAAAATGAAGATTACCTCAACGAAAGAGAGAAGATGAAGATGTCTGATGAGATTTGGAGCGCAGAGTCGCAGATTAGGGTTTTCGATTTTTAGAATTTCGCGGATCGATGGTATGCAAAAACGCCATCATCTGACTGAATCATTATACGACGTCGTTTTTGTCATCCTCTTATGCAAAGACCTCAAATTCAAGTCAAATTTTTATGGAGTAATTTAATATTTCCTCCATTTTTGGAAAATTTGTCAATTGCAGCTATTTAAATTTTAAAGTATATATTTTGTCAATTGCAATCATTTAAAAAAATTGCAAATTGCGGCACAAAAGTACTACTAACTTGTTAATTGTCACCCAATCCTATTTTTTCCTCGATTTGTGTGCCGTAAAATATTCCGTTAAGATTTCCTTGATTGAAAAAATAAAGGTCAAGACATTACAAGATAATTCAAACATTATTAAATTAACCATTTTTTGCATTTAACGTAATTAATCTCTCATGACCAACAACATACAAGATTAATACTGACTTATTGATGTACTTTTAATACATTATTAACTACATTGTTTAAATTATCATATGAGGATCCATGTGAACTCATGGTTACTTCTATTGCAATGTTTCTCCACTTTGCAACCTTGGTCCCCATCTCTTTACCATTTTCTGTCTCCATCAACTCTTTCACTACCCTTTGAACATAATCTCTTTTAACTTCTTCGCTCATCTTCATACCAATGCCAAGACGATTACAACAGTGCCAAGAATTAGTCGATTGGTCCGCGACCAATGGCCAACAAATCATTGGTACCCCATAACTTATGCTCTCGATTGTTGAATTCCAACCACAATGTGTAAAAAACCCTCCAATAGAAGGATGCGCTAATACTTGCTCTTGGTCACACCAATCAATTAGCACACCCCTAGCCTTTATTTCTTCCCTAAATCGATTAAATTCAAGAGTAAACCTCTCTTCAACAACTTGATCCGATCTTACAATCCACAAGAACCTTGCAAGGCTATTTGCAAGCCCCCATGCAAGTTCAATAAATGTCTCTTGATCGACTCCAACAAGGGAGCCAAAGCTTACATAGAGAACAGATTTAGGCTCTTGAGTATCAAGCCATTTTATATGCTCATAATCAATTGAATTTTCTTCGTTACATATAGCAGTTGCTCCAATATTAATGGTGTCCTTCTTAGAGATATGATAATCCACCATCAAATTAAGGGGTCCAATTGGATAAATGTTAGGAGAAATGGTGGAGAGATCTTCTAGGACATCTTGTTCCAAGGCATCAAATGTGTTGATGAGGATGGCTTGAGACTTGAGAGCTCTATGTGCATTTGACATAAGAATATCGAGCATCATTTGATTAATATCGTTTGGCTCTATTGTTCTAATAAAAGTTGGCATGTCTTTTAAGGATATACCCTTCAAACTTGGTATCCAATCTACTGTCTTTTCAAGATATCCATTTGTCAGCCAACTATTGTCTGAAAGTAAATGAGAAAACTTTTATAGTAAGGATAAGATTAAAAATCCACACTTAGAAATCATACATATAGGATTTTTTGACACAAATATGTTATTCATTTATTCTAATCTCTTAAATATCACAAAATACTACATATTAATTTAGTAAAAAAAAATGCGCCGTATAATCATGTGTTGTGTGATCCTATATATATTAATTCTTTTCTCCCTAAGTCAATTAAAGTATTCTTACGTTCACATTAAACTTAATATCATTGCACAAGTCATATATCTAATACTCCCTAATTTTTTAATTGGAACGTTTTATATAATATAAATGACCATTTTTTAAATTTCAACATTTCCTTAAATTGAATTATATATTATACACTAATTTATTACATATCTCTCATCACCTGGTCTCCACTAGCTCATACCCTACTCTATTAGTTTTATACTCCCTCATTCCTAAAATAGATGATACAGTCAAAATTTGTACACATGTCGATTCACTAAATTGACCTTATTTTACATAAGTAAATATTAATAAAAATTATAAATAAAAAATCATTATGAAACTTTATATTAATTAATACCTATCTAATAACATATTTTATGGTAAAATATGTTGTTATTATGTTAATAAAAAAGCTAAAGTCAATGTTAATATACTCCCTCCGTTCTCGAAAATTCGACTCACTTTGCATTTGCACGATCTCCAATGAACATCTTTGACCGTGAATATCTTTGGCTATGTATGAGTAAAAATTACAAAAAGTTGATATTTGAAAAATTTATAATAAGTTGAATCTAATAAGATCTCACGTGCTAATTTATTTCTATTGCATAAGTCATAAAATGTGGTCAAACTTATTTTATTTGACCATATAAATAGTAAGTGAGTCGAATTTTCAGAAACAGAGGTAGTATGAATTGTGAAAAAAGATCCAACTTGTTAGTTATTTTAGGATGGGAGGAGTAATATCTTTCTTCTGTCGCAATTCTTACTTATACATAACTATTCATCCACTAATAGTCTAATACTATCACTTGATTTTTCTTTTTCTTTTTTTCTTTTTTTATTTTTTAATTCCCTAACAAACTCCACTACATTATAATATTAACCACATATATAAAACTATATGCTGGGCAAAATATTGCAATCGACAAAAACAGTGGGAGTACCCGAGTACTCTTTTATTTCCGTTCACTTGTCTCCATTTGACTTATACATAATTGAAGCATCAATACCTTTAGTAAGTATAGTAAATTTTTTTATAAAAAGTTGATATATTAAAAATTTCAAATCGAAATGAATTAAACAAGAATCTAGGAATGTCATTAATTTCTTATATAATTATCAATAATATAGAGTATAGAATTCTGTGCATTATAATATTTCATCTGTTTCCTTTATTTATTTAATTTTTGAGATCGAAGGATAGTTCAAGTGCTATAGCTTTCCCTTGATTTCAGAAGATTATGGGATAGATTCTCATCACCTGTCCTTGTGACTCTCTAAACACCATAAAATAACATTTTTTTTCTTCACATTTGTTCATGCATAACTTCAATTGTTTATATCATTAATTGCGTATTGGTAAAAATTATAAAAGGTAGATTTTACAAAGGAAATATTGAGATGAATCTAACAAAATCTCATATGACTACAGTCTACGGTATTGATGTGTTGCAATTAAAAAAAGAGGTGAAGTGTATAATAATTTTAAATGAAACAAATAATTCACATGGGGGACTAAGAAAAAAAGATGTGGAGGGATTAGGATAACAATTTGAGGACAAGGGTGGTTGTGGATCGGACTAGTGTACATATTAAATTTGTTTCTCGTATTGATTATTTCACGTGACTATCATTTATCCCTTGGCCGCCTTTAATTTTGTTCAGATACACCCTACATTTTCAAACTAAGGTGTCCTTTGTTTGGATATGAAAATTTATTTTTTATGAGAATTTATATTTCATGGAAATCAAACACCTATATCCAATTTTTAAGAATTGTCTAAACTTATTTGGTTGGGATGAAGGAAGTTGCAAATCATGGGAATTTTGACTTACTTAAGGGGGTTGGGTAATTAACTTCCCATGTTTTGTGGGAAGTCACAATTTCCATGAATTTGCAATTCCCACATATACACTTTTTATTGTCAACCAAACAACTCATTGCATCTATTTTCGAATTCGCATGATTTTTCACTTCCCATTTTCTTTGTGCAACCAAACAAGCCCTAAGTACCATTAGTCCACAACACATTGATAGATCGAGTAACCCATATGTGACAAACTAAACAACTCTTGTAAGGCTATAACCCTAACAGAGTAATCTGTATAACACTAATCGAGTAATCTCATGGTGGCTGGCCACACCATATAAAAGTTAGTGAATAATCAAATGATACCACAATAATTTAATTTATCAAATTGTAAATTTAATATTGTATGAATATATATGAATTGCATTCCGGCAATTAAATAAACATAGACCATTAAATTCAAACAAACATAAATTGCATCCATTTAAGAAATTACTTAGACCATTATTATTACTTTTTTTTTTTTTTTTCTGAAACAACTTAGACCATTAAATTGAAACAATGCAAATTTTTTTTTTGAACCAAAACAATGCAAATTAGTGTATGTGAACTATATTACTACTTTTTTTATTATTATTTTTTTTTTTTTTTTTTTTTTTTTGGTGAAAATTTTATTACTATATAGTAGCTAGTTTTTTAGAAAAAAAAGGAGTACCTTGGAGGGGTATGATACCCTTGTCAAGAAGTTGGCGGCAATGTGAATAAGCTAGAAGGCTACAAGCACTAGCAGTCTCAAGAAGCACAGCAGGGATCCCCAATTCTTCAGCCACTCTAAGTGTAAAGGATGACATAGCAACATCACTAATCATACAACTAACTCGCGGTTGCGAGCAATTACTATTACTATTATTACTACTATGAAGTTGTGTCGCTAGGAGCTCCTTAAGCGGGAGCTCCAGATTGTTAGCGATTATAGAGTTGACGACAGAAAGAATATCTTTTGGATCATCGTCTTCTGGTAAGGACTCGAACCTAAAGAAGGGATGAGTCTTGTTACCAGAAGAATGATGTTGATGTTTGAAAAAGGTTTGGTGGATGTGGTGCGTGTTTATGAAAGTTATGCTAAAATCGAATTTAAAATGGAGGAGTTGAGCAAGTTTTAGCATAGGCCTTATGTGACCTTGTGCTGGAAATGGTATGCAAACAACATGATTTTCCATTATTAGTAAATTTACTATACTATTGACAAAGAAGTATATGAACCTTATGATCTCTTTGATTATTTTTATTGTAGTGGAGTTTGCAATTTAAGGAGAGGAAGAAGTGAAGCGAGATATAAAGGTCTTTTTTTATAGTTGATCTAAAGTACTCTGTACTCCGTAGCATTTTCAATTGTTACATTATTATTTAATTATATTATTCAGACCAACCATTATGTTTCGTTATATTTTATGAATGTAGTAGTTAATTTTACAGTATAAAATAATAAAACTTGTGAATTCATGAATCATCGTTTTTGTCTTGCAAATAATTAACGTATTGTCGTAGTCGTATACAGTATGAACGATCTGTTTCACATGTCTGACCTGGGTTTTGTCTCTTTTTGACCGTTGATTTTGATTTTTTAAACCGTACATAGATAATGGTAAAATTACGGGAAAATAAACTTTTATATTAAAATTAAAGAAAATATTATACATAACCTTTAGGGCACATATCAGCATTTATATACTAGAAAATTGTATAAAGTATTGAAATCATAAAAATATAAACACTAATTACACTGATTGCGTATTTTTGTCATGAATTCCTAATTTTATATAATTTTCAAGAGTATATTTAATGCTTATATGTAGCCCTTATATAGCATTATCCTAAAATTAATTGAGAAATTCTACTTGTACCCCCTCTTTTTAAAAGTTACACATTGTAACCCTCAAATATAATTAGTAACCATACAGTGACCTTGTCATTATCCTGCCGTAGTTAACGGATTCCGTTATATTAGTTCAATCACCATTAGTGGGGCTCACTCTCAACTTATATATATAAACGGGGAGGTTCCGCTGAAAACAGAGCTTATGGTGAAAACTAAAAACAAGCAATCTTAGCCATTGAATGTTCACTAGATCATCTGATAGTGTGAAACAACCGAGAGGTCACTATATACAAAAATAAGGTCATTATATCAAGTTATATTAATTTTGATGACACTTACACCGAGGTCACTATATATAGAAACAAGGTAAGTATATCAATTTTTACAATATTTACTTAGAGGTCACTATATACAAAAATAGGGTAATTATATCAATTTTGACCACATTTATATAAAGGTCACTATATACAAAAATAAGGTAAGTACATCAATTTACAGAGGCCACATTTATACAGAGGCCACTATATATAAAAATAACGATGGTCACTATATATAAAAATAAGGTAATTATATCAATTTTGACAACATTGACCACATTGATATAGAAGTCATTATTTACAAAAATAAGGTAACTATCATCAGATAACTTCTCTTTCTCCTCCTTGTCATCGGATAACTTCTCCTGCTCCTCCTTGTCATCCTGCTGCTCCTTATCATAAGATAACTTCAGCTGATGCTTTCTCCTGCTCATTAAAATTTACACTAAGAAAATAATTAGCTATTATTAATTTTGACTAAATCACACTATGAACTACCAAAAATTAATCAACAACTAGAGCAATCAATGTGAGTAATCAATTAACTAAAATTGACCCAATGCGACAAACTTTAGATTAAACTTTAGATCCACCTGCTGCCTATAGCTGCATGGTACTAAATGATGAGCTTCTCTTCTTGTTCTGTGAATTCTTCATGCTTAAGGTCAGGCCTCAGGTAGTTAGTCCACCTAAGCCTGCAACTCTTACCACGTCTATTAAGTCCTATAAAAACAATTAATTCATTAATATGCATAAACCCTTGATAATTAGTAAAAGAGAACAACAAAAACCTAAGCAATTCACAAAGCATATTATTTAGATCTTAAAACACAGCATGAGCTGATAATGACATATAACGACATTAGCCATTTACTGCATGACACAGGGTGTTGTTACTTGACAGTAAGATTTTTACTCGCCTCTATCATGTATCCCTCTCACAGCTCCTAAGGGGAACTGTTGGAATCACAATAAATTAATGTTGATTAAATCACTTAATATGGTGATCCTATAAACATGGTGATCCTATAAACAAACTGAACAAGAGAATTTTGGATCCAATCTTAAATCAATCTACTGTAATACCAAACTATGTACAATAAATCAACTCACTTCAATTAATTGCCACAACATCACCAAAAGGTTAAAAACACAACACTCCAATTAAGCGCGAGTTTGTAATCATCAACCAAATTTACAAAATCAACATTAACAAATCATACATTTTCTTACCTAAATCAAACATTTAGAATTTCTATTAAAATAGTCATCTACACTGAAACTCAAATCTCTCATATACAGAGACAAATCAACATTAAAACAATCAAAACTCTAGATTACAAAATCAAAGATCTAAAAATCGAAAAACAAATCAATGATTCAGACAAAAGAAAAAAAATCATTAATTTCAAATGAACAAAAGTAAAATCCAAAAACAAAACACTTGGACAATAATTCATCACTTAATTAAACAAACAAAACCTCATATATGAAGAAATTATAGTAATTAAACAAATTATAGTAAAACAAATTGTTGTAATTACAGTGTCAGAGGAGAGAGAAAGCGAAAGAGAGAGAATACCAAAGAGAAATGAGCTGCGAGAGTGGCCATGGTGAAGGAGGCGAGAAGGACGAGGAGCGAGAGAGCGAAGAAGCGGAGGACGAAGACGCCGACGATGGAGGTAACAGCGGGAAGAAATCTGCGAGAAAGGCGGCTGATGCTGGTGTTGCTGTGGTAGAGGTGGTGGCGCCGCCGCCGTTGATTCGCCATGGGCGCCAGAAAAAAGCTTCAACAACAATGAAAAAATCATGAAAGTTGTAGATCTTCTTCTACTTAGATCAATGAAATTAAGGAGGAAACTAAAGTTAATCGATTAGTTAAATAGGAAATCGAACAAAATTGAACAAAATCGAACAGAATATCGCAAAATCAAACAAAATCGAACAAAATTGATGAAAATTTTAGAAACCTTAAAACCTCAAATCATGCAAAAAATAGTGAAACTAACACAAAGAACTCACCTGATAATAGATCGTAGAGCTGAAAAATTGCTAAAAATCAAAGTAATTGAAGCTGAATTTGAAAAAAATAGCGTGAAAATTGGGGGAAAAATGTCGAGAAATTAGGAGAGAGAAAGTAGGAGAGAGGAGTAAGAGGAAGAAGAAAATAACGGAGGAGAGAGAAATTGTTTTCGTGGGAGGAGAGAGAAAATTAGTATATAAACGTTAGATGTCATCCGCTAGATTATAATCTACGGCTAGGATGAATCGTTTTCAGTTTTCACCCTAACATTTGTTTTCACATGATCCATACGCTCTCTCTCTTTCTCTCTCTCATGTGAGAACACATCCCTTATGTTATGAATGGTTATAGAGATTGATTTTGTCAATTTTGGTAATTGCATTTCACTAATTTGTGCTTAAATTTTGATGCACACTAAGTGTTTGACAATATTCCCCAATGAATCCTATTATTTTATCAATTTCAAATGTAGTACATATTTAATTGATGATCTTCTTATTTAATATTCCCTAAGATGTTTGATGCACACTAAGATGTTTGATATGTCATGTAGAACTATCATAATTTATTGCCTTAATTCTATACAGTATACACTGACCTCTGTCTGACTCTATACCGCCTATTGCCTTGTAATGTGTATTTGGGCTTTAATCATTATGCATTAATATGTCTGTGATATATGAGTACTCACATGCTGCTACCATAAGCACCAAGCATCTTGTTTAAATGAATATGGCACTTACATGCTGTTGTTTTGAGTAATGAGACAAAAGTACTAATAATACACAAATAAGGAATCGATTGATAAGCAGCATTAATGTATGCTATTTTGTAGTTATCATCTTTTGTTTCCCTGGTTGCAGTTTCTCAGGGAATCAATAGTTGTGTGGTAGAGATCTTCACCATCCTTGTGTAGCTAAAGCTAATAGTGCAGGTATATTGGTTCTTGAGTATTTGGTGATTATGTGTTTGTATCTATGTCTTTCAAAGTTGGCGACTCCTGAATTATAGTTAAGAAGCTATTGCTTTGAACTGATTCTGTTTTTTGTTGACAGGTTATTCAAATAAAAAAAAAATTGGAGTTATGGTTGGAGTAGTTGGAGGTCTTATTAGTATAATACTGATTGAATGTGTGCTGTAACTGCCGTTTTTCATTTGCAAGAGTAGAATCACAAGATACAAGCGTGAAGTCTACGTTGATGTTGCAGGTCGTTTCATAAATCTCCCTTTTAGTTGGTCACTTTTTTTATTTTTTATAGTTGGTCTACGTTAATCTGTCTTATAAACATTTCTCATAGTCAAATTATTTTAAAGTATTACTATGTATATTTTAATATCTGCTAACCTTGTCATCAGTTTGATTGGTATTGAGTGGTAGTTTCTTTATACTCGTACATTATTGGGCTGATCCACATAGATATACATAGGGTTCAACTTCTCAAGATCACATAGATATCAACCAAGTGATCACATAGATATGAAAAAGAATATGGCACTTACATGTTTGTATTTTTTTTTCTTTTTAGACAATGGTTATACTATACTTTTGATCCCACCACTGCTTTTGAGGTTATACTATTGCCTTGTAATGTGTATTTGGGCTTCAATCATTATGCATTAATACGGGGTATATAATTGTTGTGTGTTTTGCAGTTTGAGCAGAAAGCAAATGAGGTGGTGGCAGCACTTCCCTGGGTTAGAAAAGTGAATGTCACGATGTCTGCCCAACCTGCTAAACCAGTTTTTGGGGGAGATCTTCCAAAGGGCTTGTAGACAATTTCAAACATTGTGGCTGTTTCTAGCTGTAAAGTAAGAGCCTTGTGTTCCTGTCAACTAATGTCTGTCGTGGATTCGTAGACTAGAAAATGTTGTTTCACGGAAAGTTGGATCAAGTTATATATTGTTTAACAGCTATCTTGGCTATCATTTTGGGTTGCTGTGAAACACATTTTGTTCAACAAATTTTGTCTTGGCTTGCCCAATTCTTTGTTCATTCTTTGCTCATATGTCAAATGAGCAAACACATATCTACTCATTTGTCAAATGAGCAAACACTTCTCCGCTCATTTGTCAAATGAGCAGTAATTCTCTTCTTATTTGTCAAATAAGAAAACAATTCTCTTCTCATATGTCAAATGAGCAAACACGTTTTTGCTCATTTATTAAATGGGCAAATAATTAATGAGTAAAAAAATTCAATGCTCTTTTGGCAAATGAGCAAACTATTTAATGCTCATTTGTCAAATGAGCAAATGATTCTTGCTCGTTTTGTCAAATTAATGCTCATTTATAAGTGTGTTTGAATGTTTTAAATACGTTAGCCTACTAGCTCAAGGGTAGAGCGTTGTGCAAATACACAAAAGATGTGGGTTCGAATCCCACGTAGGTTCATTTATGTAATGTGGAGACACAAGTTTGTAGTGTGAGCAAAGAAATGAGAAAACTACACTCAATTAGCATGTAGAGTAGTGTGAAAATGCAGAGTTTGAAAATTTTGAGTAGTTAATGAAATTTATTTCTTTTGGCTATTGGGAAAACAATACAAAAGACACCCATTGCTGGAAAAGGAACACCTATTATTTGATCAAGAGGAAGTTGCCTAGGCTAATTCGTGCTAAAAATTTCGGACATTGCATAAATCATGTTACAATTATAAGACATGTATAAGAATTGAACAACGATATAGTTGAGTAGAAAAGGAGAGATGATCAAGTTTTTTTTTTGAAGGTTTTTTTAATATAGTTATTTATAAATACAACCTATGTAGGATTCGAACCTACATCATTTATGCATTTGCATAGTGCTCTACCACTTGAGCTAATAGGTTTTTGATATAGATCAACGCCCTCCCATAGAAGCAGAGGAAAACAATCACATGTAGAAACTAAAATGCCTCCATTATTACCACAACAACCACCGTAGCTCACAAATTACCCAACACATGCTCACCCAACACAACTACTACTAGGAAGTATTATCAAATAAATTAGTAACAAGTGAATATGCACCCCCTTAAACACACTTACACACACTCTCTCAATAATTAGAACTGAAATCAGATTCTTAAATAAGAATGTACACGGCCAGGAGCAAACACACACATTTACACATACACTCTTACACACACACACACACACAAAATAATTTCATAATTTAAAATTAGAATTGAAATCAGTTTCTGAAATCAGAACTGCAAGCAGAAAGATGAGGGGGCAGGGGGGATATATAGATTTGTGGAGGGAAGTGGAAGAAGGGAGTGTGGTTGGTGTGCAGGAAACAGACCAAGAAGAAGGGGGTGGGGCTTGTGCACAGGCAAGCAGACCAAGGAGCTCAATGCTCATTTGTGAAATATGCAAACAATTCTTTGATCTTTTGTCAAATGAGCAAATAATTGAATGTTCATTTGTCAAATGAGCAAATAACTCAATGCTCATTTGTGAAATTATCAACTAAGTATTTGTTCATTTGATAAATGAGAACTAATTATTTGCTCATTTGACAAATGAACAACTAACTTATTATCGTTGCTCATCACATATTATCAAAACAAGCAGCTAAAGAAACTTATACATCACATATTATCAAACCAACTTCTATTTTTAGCACTCATTTTACATGGCAAACATCTAATTCTACCAACTACATTCTCCTTAAGCCGAGTAATCATTTGATCAGCATTAATAGTCCTTTGTTCAATTCCATGTGATAGCATTCCTCAAACGGCAAATAATTACCAAGCATTTTCTAACAAGAATTTTATCAAACACCTTGTATGCATTATCAGGATATTCAAAACAAACTCATTGATAATTACCAATTGTTCAGTTAGTTGATCAATCTCTACCCTGGCAATGAAATCACCCTTAGGCCCAACCAAGTCTTCGACACCATACTTCTTCCTCATGCGGACCTGCAAGTCCAGCTCGTCCGCAACCTCCACTACTAGAAATAAGCTAATTAACGACGGAAGTAATCCCTCGGAATAACCTGAAATTCCGTCGGAAAAGCCAGTTTTCGATGGAATTCTGTCGGAACGCACTGTCGTATTACATGTTGTAGGAATTTCACTATATTCCGACGGAATTGTTGTCGTCGGAGTCAAGATTGATTTTTAGGGGAAATCCGTCGTAACATTCCGATGGACATAATTCCGTCGTTGTTACAACCTTCCGACGGAATATTCCGTCGAAAACAACTATGCTTCCGACGGAAATTCCGTCGGAAAGTTCAATAATAAAAAAAAGCCCCACCTACCCCTAAACCCACTTCCCACAACCACCATACACCCACACCCACCCCCTAACCAACTACCCTCACCCACCAGAATGTACTACCGTAACCGCCTAACCCACCCCACCACCGTAACCTACCACCATATCCCACCCCACCACCGTAACCCCATTAGCCACCCCCTAACCCACCCCACCCCACCCCACCACCGTAACCCCATTAGCCACCCATCCTAACTCCTAAGCACCCACAACCCCCACCCAACCACGTCAAACCCCTTTTCCCACACCACCCACCACGTCAAACCCTTGCCCTAAACCCATTCACCACCAAACCAACCTTCAAATGCGAAAATTTCCACCAAACCGCGTCAAACCCATTCACCACCAAACCAACCCAAAAAAACCGTAAAACAAAGAATTTAGCTAAAAAAACCCGAAATAAACAACAAACAAATTTAAAAAAAAAAATATTCATACCTTGATTCCACCGCACAAAACCTCACAATTGGGTTTACAAGGCCAAATTTGACCATGAAAACTCTAGATCTAGGGTTTTCATGGTCGAATTTGACCCAAAAACCTTCGTTTTAACCATCAATAACCTTTTCATTGTTGGAGTTGTTGTCGATTATAGCGGCTTGTCTTTGTTGTTGACGGTGCGAGAATGAGAAAGTGATGAAGAGCAGCCACGGTGAGAAAGAGAAAAGAGCAGCAAAGAAAGAGAAGAAGATATAATGAAGGAGGAGAGGAAACCAGAGAGGAAGAGAAGAGGAAAGAGGAGAGGAAAGAGAAAGAGTAAAGAGGCGGAAAGAGGAGAGAGAAAAGAGAAATGAAAGGGAAAGGGGGAATTTAGGGTTTACGGGTTTTTGTATCTTTTTTTTTTGTAAGTATTAAATCCGTCGTTAAAATTCCGTCGGAAATTTCCGACGGAATTAAAATCCCTCGGAATTGTCTACGGATTTAAAATCCGTAGGAAATTAATATGTTCCGACGGATTTATTTTCCCTCGAAATTTACAGCTTCCGGCGGAAATTTCCGTCGGAAGCAGTAAATTCCGAGGGAAAAAAAATCCTTCGGAATATTTCCGAGGGATTTTGGTCGGAACTAACATTTTCCGGCGGAATTTTCCGACAGATCCAAATTCCGTCGGAACGATTATGTCGGAATATGGCCTATTTCTTGTAGTGCTCCTCGATGGTGTCAAGGATCTTGTCTACAGGCACAATTGAAAATCCTATTGAAAATTTTAACAAAAATCCTAAATTGAGAACACTCAAAGTAAAAAAAAATCGAGCAAAAATTTGAAAGTCAAACTCGGATAACCAAAATTATGCAGCAGTGAAGAAGAGGAGAGAGAAATCCCAGCTTTAAAGAGAGAGAAAGAGGAGTATACAAATTGTACAAAATTTGGGTTTTGGGGGCTGATTTGTTTGTTTTAAGAATTACATTATTGCCATTATTAGTTGAACAATCTCAGCTTTTGGATTAATACAATCTAATGGCTGAGATTTATTCTCACATATGGGATGAGTTCTTTTATAGGAGGTGGTTTTCACTGGATCCCGACCCTATATATAAATAAAATATATTATTATTATTAATTTACGTGTTTTAATTTGCAACAATATTTGTGCAAAGTTAACTTTTCCATGTAAGTTTTGTTTTTCCATATACTTTTATTACTTTTTCTCTACTTTTTTTACAAATCCTACGTGAATTTTACTTTTCAATGTACTATTTTTACTTCTTTTTTCACTTTTTTAATACCCGTGAAAATTGCCAATAAGGGTCCAACTTTTGGGAACGGAGGGAGTAACTTTCAAAAAAATAAAAATAAAAAATTATAATGCTCATATGTAAAAGGGCTAAAGAGTAATGACAACCCATATTTTTATTTTACACGATAGCATTGATCGTATAAAGAATTTAATACATGTGGTCTAATAAAGTAAATACGACACGATTACTCTTATATATTATTTTATGATGAGGAAAATGCTATAAATACATTTCTTGTTTGATTAATTAATTGAAAGAAGTATGTCATTGACTACGTTCTCTAAATTAACATATGAAGATCCATGTGGACTCAAGGTTGCTTCTTTTGCCAATTGCCTCCACTCCATGGCTTTCTTTTTCATCATCTCCTTGCCATTTTTGTCCTCCATCAACTCTTTCACAACCCTCTCAACTTCAACTCTTTCCACGGCTTCACTCATACCTACACCGATGCCTAGATGATTACAACAATACCAACTATTAGTACCTTGCTCGGCGAAAAATGGGCAACAAATCATTGGAACTCCATTGCTTATGCTCTCAATCATCGAATTCCACCCACAATGTGTCACGAACCCTCCGATAGAAGGATGACCTAACACTTTCTCTTGGTCACACCAACTTGTTAATAAGCCTCTTTCCTTGATCTCTTCCTCAAATTCAATGAGAAAATGATTATTATTGTTTGACCCACCCGAAACTAAATCGGGTTTTACAACCCAAAAGAAATTATGATGACTATTTGCAAGCCCCCATGCAAATTCAACAAGTTTTTCTTGGGTCAAAACTACAAGTGTCCCAAAATTTACATACAAAACTGAATTGGGCTCTTTGGAGTCAAGCCATTGGATGTAGTTAACATCTTCCTTAGGGCTAGGCCCAATGGGCCTAATATTCTCATCTACTGGTACTAAGTGGTCTACTAATAAATTGAGTGGCCCAATTGGGTAGATATTTGGTGAAATGGATGAGAGTTCCTTAAGAACATCTTGCTCTAAAGCATCAAATGTGTTGATGATGATAGCTTGTGATTTGAGAGCTCTATGCTCACTTGAAATCATATAATTCATCATCTTGTCATTTGGGTCTGTGGTCCTAATAGAGCTCGGCATGTCCTTTAATCGTATTCCCTTCAAACTTGGTATCCAATCAATAGTCTTATCAAGATAGCCATTTGTAAGGTAACTTGAGTCTGCATACGAAAACATAAAATAATGTTCCAAGTATTAGATTATGAGTGTAAGGCTGCAATTAACTCGAGACCTTTTATATACATTCGGATGCACATAGAGGTAGGTGCATCCAAGGGTATGTTTTTTTTGCTCATTTTAACATTTTAAGATGAACAATAAATATTACATAAGCAGAAAACACCCTTCGGTGCACCTTACGTCCTTACATATGGATGTTTATAAACAATATCACAATTAAGTAGAAGCAATATACTCTCTCTGTCTCATAAAAAAATTCCCATAATATATACTTATACAGTTATACTTCGTAATATTGAATTTAGAGCCGAAGATCTCATTCATCTAAAGTATACGAGTATAATGATAATTAATTATTTAAATAAAAGTTTAAATTAATATTTTATTACGAAAGGAGAATAATATACTTTAATTTTTTTTTAAGTGGAAACAAGTGGCGATTAATACTTTAATAGTTTGTATATTGGCAAAATATGACAATTTTTAGTCACAAGAGTGTTAGTTGTATAGCATTATAACAGCAATAATAGCATTATCTTCATTCACATTTTCAAATCCAACTAGCTAATTAGTCAAAAGTTAACCTACAAGTTGGAGAACCCTCTTTCTACGTAAATTCATTTTTATTTTGTTGGTCAAATATTCAACAAAATAAAATTATAGGAAAGAATTGACTCATACATACCTTTGAGAGGTATAATGCCCTTGTCTAGAAGCTGACGATGTTGCAAGTAACCCATCATACCACAACCACTACACGTCTGCAACGCCACCGCCGGAATCCCCATCTCTTCGGCCACGTCGAGGGTGAACTTCGACATGCCTATATCGGAAACCATACACGTCACCGGTGGCCTCAAATCATCCTTAGGCAAACATTGGTAATAGTCCTTACTACCAAGTTTTAAAAGGATCTTCTTAAGGGGAGGTCCCAAATGGTTATTCAAAATAGAGTAGATCACGGACATGATATCTTTCGGGTTGGTGGTGTTGTCGTCGTCGTTGTTGTCATCGTTACATTCAGGTATGGACTCGAATCGAAAGGTAGGACTAGTAATACTTTGATGATAATATTGTTGAGATTGAAATAGGGTTTGGTGATTGTGTAGAGTATTGATGAAGGTAATGTGGAAACCAAATTTATAATGAAGGATTTTAGCTAATTTTAGCATGGGTCTAATATGACCTTGTGATGGAAATGGTATGCAGACTACATGATTTTTCATCTTGCTTAATTTTATTTTCCTCTTTAGCTAGTTTTTTTTGTTTTTTGTTTCTATGATAATGATATTTATGCTTGCTAAGGACTAATGGTGTGTAAGGGTAACATTTTTTTATTATTTTTTTCCAATGATTGTTATAAAAAGGTTAGTGCATGCCCTCAAAAAAAAAATAAAAATAAAAATAAAAATAAAAATAAAAAAAATTAAAGTTTAGTGCATCAGTACTAACTACTAAGTAAGTCAAAAGGTCAAATGTTGACACACTACCTAATTAATGATTTTAATATTTTATAAATGATGACAACATTTTTATCACTAATACTAGTCCCTCTGTCCCTTATTTTTTTTGTCCATATTTGACTTTTTACGGTATTCAACACGCGTCTTGAAACTTATATATCTCCATCTACATGCGTTAAAATTATAAAAACTTCATATTAATAAACTATACAATGAGACGATTTTAACAAGATCCTACATGAATATATTATCACTTATAGGTTAACGAGAATTCATGCTCAAAGTTTTTAAACTTTAACCCATATTTTTGCAATGAGGCAAAAATTAAAGGACGAATGAAGTATTTACTAATGTACAAAAACCTTTAATTTCTATTAATTATTATTTTAATTTGAATAACAACAAAAATGATGTAACTATTTTGAAATGGATGTATCAAGTATTTTATTTTATCCTTTAATCAATCAAGCTGTATATATTTTTTTTTATATTCCTAGCTACCTAATCAATCAAGCTATATATTTTTTTTTATTCATAATACATGTTAAGGAAACCTGACTTTATTTTATACGGGATATTATTTTAAAAATGTATAAAGGTTGGAATTAGCAGAATAAAAGTGGTGACCAAATATTCCTCTAAATCGCCCCACTCACCAACAAAAATCCACCCAACCACCCTCGAAATTCTCTTCAACAATAAAAAAAAATTCCTAACCTCCTCAAACACCCCGACCACCCTAAGATAAGGTGGAGAGGGAGAGGGAGAGGGAGAGGGGTGTGGCGGATTGGATGGGGTAGACATAGCGGGACGAAAAAGGGAAAAGTAAAAGAAATAGGTTTATTCTTACGTGAAAACTCTATGGTAGTCATCCTTAAAATGACTTTCAAGATGATTTTTTTTTGTTTTTAAAAATAAAAATTAATTTCCAGCAAAAACACAATTTTCAAAGGTTTCTAACAATTTTATTTTTTATAACTAATTACATGATTAACTAAGAAAAAAATTGAAAAGCATAAATCATGCACATAAAACAACAACCAGCCGTAAACAAATACGTACTCGTAGTAGTAGGCAGAAAAAACGAATTGTAATGTAGGAAGTGGAGTAACTGAAATCCAAGCTTTAGTATTTGTAATCTAATGCGAAGCAAGGTTGATCACAAGTACACAAGGAGTCAAGGACCATTCATAGAAAGAAGAATGCGACACTTGATCAGCTAGGCAGCTTCACCTCTGCATGGTGGAAAACAATTTCCTTTTCACAATCACGACTCGACGAGGCATTTTTAGTGGCTCTGGCTCACAATGAGCACTTTGCTAAATGCCTAACATGCCATTTATGTGTGTTTGAAGTATAAACTTTTCAAAGAACACATGTAAGTGTCCCACATTGAGTAAAAAAGAGAGAGTTGAACATTTTATAAGTCATGGGCTAATCCTCCAACTGTCAAATGGTTTTGGGATAGAACCTCCTAGGACTTGTGAAATGAACTCTCTTTTGGTTGTGGGTGCGGTCTAAACCCATATTTTACATGGTATCAGAGGCAGGCCCATGGTTTGAGACCTTAATGGCTTGAGTATTGCCTTCTTGGACTTGTGAAGCGAACTCTCTCTCTTGGTTGCAAGTGCGGCCCAAACACATATTTAACAATGTGCAAATTCCTTAGCATCATGTAAGGTCAAATAATATTATTGGATGTTTTAGTAGTTTTGGGATAAACTCTCCTCAAACTTATAAAGTGGAATTTCTCTCTCTCTAATACAATCATGTGTGGTCCCCACTACCTTTTCTCTCTAATTCCATGTGAATGACACTTTGATAGAAAGTACAGGATCTACATCACCTCTGTCTTTTATGTACTTTTACCTTTTAAATAAACACAAATACTAGTAAATTTCCTATAATCTTGTTAGGCATTTGTTACAGTTAGGCATAAGGATGTCAAAAACTTACCTGATCTGAAAGATTTACTTGAAACCGAACTGTTTTCGAACTGGTTAGATCCGACAATTTTTATCCGAATTCAATCTGGAGTCAACCCGAAGTTAACTTGAAACCGACTTCAACCAGTAATGTATGAACCAAACCCAATTTGAAATCGACTCATAGTTAATCCGAAACCAATAAGACCGGATAATCCAAGATCCGAAATCGATTTGAATTGGCCCGAACCAAAAACTACCTGAAACCATTTAGACCCGAAAAATATCTCTTTTTACCCGACCTTTATTTACCCGTCTTGAAACTTCCCATGAACCGATTAAAATCGACTCGGAACTACTCATCATGGTCTAATTAAAACCAACCCATTAATTATAACCCAAGCCAAAATTTTCCATGATCCAATAACAAAAATGACATCACCTTTATGCTAATATAGCTTAAACTAAAATGACTCAAACTGAGATTGACCCGAATTCATATTACACGATCCAATAATCGAAACTAAAATAATTCTAACCGATAATGAGCTAATAATTGAAATAAACCTACTCAAATTTTAACCGAAATTGCATTGATTTGAACCGAGATCTTATTAATTCCAAAATGACTTGATCCAAAGTCTAATAAATCCGTTTTGACCCAAATAAATCCGATAAAATCTGAAACCAATTTCATATGAACTCGATATGACTTGACCCGAATTTAACTTGACCCAAATTCGATTTGTACCCGACTATATTCAGACCCAACTTTGACCCAAATCTAAATAAACTCAACCCGATTTGATTTCATGTTATTTTTTTTTCTTCTCGTTTTCGTTTTTAAATATTGTTCTACAATAATAAATAACGCTAGTTGTCTACGGAGTATTTTTTTTGTTTGGTCTCTCACAATTCAAAATATTTTTTGAATTTTAAATGACTCACCACTTGACCCTTCACAACCTTCGGAATACCCCAATTTATTTTAAAAAAATGCATATATATACAAAGAAAGTTTACATCAAATGTATATACCAAGTATGCAGACCAAAATTGAAATTTTTTTTCTCTTTAAATGTATATACCAAGTATGCAAGTTTGAATCAAGTACTTGTACAAATACATTCAAATTTCATATATATATATATGCAATTTATTATTATTTTTTTATTTTTTTTGTGTACATATCTTAAGATGATTGTGATCTTGTGGATTTTTTTTTTTAAGGTACATAAAAGTTAGGATAATAAATCTTCTCTTAGGCATGTGGAATTTCATGCTTGAGGGAATATAATCATATAAGATATCGACCACTCAACCAAAGAGACTATACAAATATTTGCTATTAAGTAAGATTTTCAAGTGTTCACAACTTCACATGATGCTCTTTCTCTTGCTTAATCTCACAGGCAAGCCATTTTTCATTCTTAGTGTCAATGACAATATGTAATCTGGGCGTTTCTCTTTCCCTAACACATCCACGTCATATTGTTCCAACACACTAGCCACTATAGACTTCATTTGGATATAAGCCATATCCTTACCCAAACAAACCCTTGGCCCGGCATTGAAAACCGGGTACCTAAACGGACTATCCGGCTTAAAAACCCCGTTTTCCAACCACCTTTCAGGCTTAAACTCGGAGCAATCTTTCCCCCAAATACCCTCGATCCGTCCCATTGCATATATGTGGTACATAACAAACCAACCTTTTTTAACCCTCGTCCCATCTGGCAAAACATCATCTTCTAAACACGCCTTTGTATCAACAGGTACAGGTGGGTATAATCGTAGTGATTCAGATATTACCGCATGTAAGTAATGCATTTCTTGTAACTCCTCATAATCATAGGTACTTCCTATCACTTTCTTGTTTCGAACCCGAATATGATCGATTTCCACCCGAATTTTCTCAACAACATCCGGATTATGTGACAATAACCAAAACAGCCAACTTAAACCCGTTGACGTGGTATCTTTTCCAGCTAATATAACACTTATAACAACATCCCTCAAAAATTTAATTGAATTTGTAACAAAACTTCGACTATTATCCAACATAGCATCAATAAAACGGGATAACAGATCATCATATTTATTACCTTTATTTGACTTTTCCTCCTCCAATCTCAACCGTATGATATCGTCAGCATACTCGTGTACGGTTACGATTGATTTCATCAATTTATTTTCCGACCCAAAATTAAAAAACCTCTTTATTATCCACAACATAGGAAGTGCATACAAGAAACGTCCCGAACTAAGCTCCGTGGCATCATTAAAAGCCCGCATAAACTCCGACTCACTTGAACCGAACCGGTTCAAGCAACCCGGGTCCACATTAAATGACAACTTACAAACATTATCGAAAGCAAACCGCTCGAGGACATCTTGTAGGTCCAAAACCCTGTTTGAACCCGAGGCCTCTTCTAATATCGGATTAAGCCGATTAATAATCTCAACTTGAACCGAGTTCAGTAGGAAGTTTCTTAGGCTGCGCATGTTAAACGCAAAACTCGCAGTTTTGCGTTGCAAGCGCCACAACGAGCCATCGGCATTAAAAATGCCGGTGCCCAAGAAGTCTTGTAGGATTGAGAGAAACCGGGTCCCTTTTGGGTAAATCTCAATCCGGGTTTTGAGAATATGCTCAATGTTGGCGGGGTCCGCGGTGAGCACACCATGGTTCCCGCCAACGAAACGGTAAAATACGGAGGTGTAGGTAGGGATAGTAGACAAAACATCGGTAGACCATTCGAGAAAACGATGGCGATTACGTAAAAAGTCCGGTATCATACCGAAAATCGGGTATTTCTTAAAGCCATAATGGATAGTTTTAGGTTTAAGGAGGATGAAATAGAGTAAAGGAACAAGGAAAAGGGTTGTAATAGAGAGGATAGCAAGATTGATTTCCATGGTTTATTATGTTGTTAGAGAATATTGTGGCAAATAGGGGTGGTGTCATGTATAAGTGTGTTAAATTATATACTTAAATTAGAAAAAATATCTGTCAAAAAAAATTGAAACCAATTAAAAGATTGTGGGAAATTGAAGTGTTTTTGAATCAAAGTTTAGTGTTTATCGTTTTGGCGTTATTGGAGTAATCAAAATGTACACACTTGGCAATTGCAATACAATGCAAATGATCTTGGAAGATAAGGTAAGTGTTGCTTTTGTTGGAAACTACAAAAAGTTGAATTGTGTGGAGTAATAAAAATGTAACTTGCATTATGTTTCATAAGAACGAATAATGTTGATTAATTTTAATAAGAAGTTTTACTCTCTAAATTAGTAAATTTCATCTATTGTAATCTTGTTAAATTTATTGAAAAAAAAAATTGAAATCTATCTATAACTATTACTAAATAACAACCGCTGACATCAAATACAAGTATTTTTTGAGCTTTCTTCGTAATTTTCATAAGACAAGATTAATTAATAAGTGAGCTTAGAAACTTTGTTGTATCATTACACATGATCGCACAAAAAAAAAAAAGCAATATTTGTTAAGCAGTCAAGCATGTAGACAAATCTGTAATCATATTCAATATTCATTACATGATATTTGCAATATTTCTTCCTCGGCCCATTAAAGTTGTCTTGCCTTTACTTTAACAGGAAGTCCATTTTTCATCCTTAGAGTTAGTGACATCAAATATTGAGGACATTTCTCTTTTTCTACTATATCCACATCAAATTGTTCTACCACACAAGCTACTATGGACTTCATTTGTAGATATGCCATCTCCTTCCCTAAACAAATCCTTGGACCCGCATGAAAAACGGGATACTTAAAAGGATTCTCCGGTTTATAACAACCGTTTTCATCTATCCATCTTTCGGGTCGAAACATTAAGCAATCCTTGCCCCATATGCTCTCCATTCTCCCCATACCATACGTGCTATACGTGACAAACCAATCCTTCTTAATCTTTGTACCATCAGGAAACACATCATCTTCCAAACATGTTCTAGTATCTACAGGTACTGGAGGGTATAATCGTAGCGCCTCAGATAGCGCTGCATGTAAGTAATTCATTTCTCTTAGATCATCAAAATCATACATATCCCCGACTTGTTTACCAGCTTTAGTCCGAACCTCACCTACTTCGGACCGAATCTTCGTCAAAACATCGGGATGCTTGGATAACAACCAATAAAACCAACTTAATCCCGAGGATGTTGTATCCCTCCCAGCTAGGATAGTACTCGTCACAACATCCCTTAGAAAATTACCATCTTGTTGTTTACTTATGTCATCCGCGGAAATAAAACGTGACAACAAATCTTGGGAATTCACATTACGACTATTTTCTCCTGATATTTCTTCTAACCTCGTCCGTATAATCTTTTCAGCAAAATCATGGACGGTTTTGATTGACTCCCTTAACCTCTTCTCCGATCCTACATTAAAAAATCTCTTAATTTTCCATATAAAAGGGAGCGCATAAAAGAAACGTCCAGCACTAAGCGCAGTGGCATCCTCAAAAGCCCGCATAAATTCGGACTCGCCCGACCCGTCACCAGCCAAGCAACCCGGGTCAAAATCAAAGGCCAACTTACAAATATTATCAAAAGCGAACCGCTCGAGAACATCTTGTAAATCCAAAACCCGGTCTGAACCGGATGCATCTATAAAAATGGGAATAAGGCGTGTTTTAATCTCAAACCTAACACTCTCTAGGACAAAGTTCTTAAGGGAAGTTTTGTTGAACTCATAGCTGGCAGTTTTACGTTGATGGCGCCAATGATGACCGTCGGAGTTAAAGATACCGGTACCGAAGAAGTCGTAGAGTAAAGAGATAAAGCGAGCGCCTTTAGGGTAGTTGTCGAAACGGGTTTTAAGGAAATGTTCGACGTTGGGGGGGTACGCGGTGATGATACCGTGCACTTTTCCGGGGCGGAAGAAGACGGAGGTGTGTGTGGGGAGGGGAGAAAGGATTTCGAAGCTCCAATCGTGGAAGCGGTGCCGGTTTGCTAGGAACTGTGGTAAGGTGCCTAGGAAGGGGTATGTTTTGAAGCCTAGTGCTTGTTTCTTCGTGTTTGGAAGGTGGTATAGTGTGTAATAGAGGGAAAAAAGAATGATAGAGAAGAGAGTAAAAGATGGGAAGAAAGAAGATAAGGTGGTCATGATTTGCTCCATTGTTTGATTTTTGGGATATAATGGAAGAAGAATTTATAATTTAATCAACTGAATTTGGAAATAGTGGTGATAAACAGTTGTACGTTGCTTTTGTTGTTTGTTTCTTTTTGTCAAGAAGGCCACGAAATGATTTTGTTTTTTGTTTCTTTTTTTCATGTTAAAAAATCTATAAAAATACAAAATGATGAACATTGATAGATGTAGATGAAATTCATTTCTCGCTTGATTAATTGAGATGAGGATATTATAAACCATAACCTCACCTCAAAGTAGCTCAAACAAACAAAATGATGAACCCTGATGTAGATAAACACTCACTTGTATAAAAATTCTATGGTAGTCATTTAATTTAGTTTTATATCAAAATTAATCATAAAAGTTTTTTCTTATTTTTAAAATTTATTTTTATTTATTTTTATATTTTCATAATTAATTTATAAATTATTTTTGAATTTCAGTAATAATACAAGTTGAATTTTGTAAATTAATTAGGAAAATTATAAAAAAAAAAAAATTCAAAAAATTATTTTAAAATTAATAAATGAATTTTAAAAATTAGATAAAAATTTATAATTAATTTTGACATTAAAAAATAAATCAAAATCAACCTATAAAAAATTAGTATAATGGTAGTCATTTTTTAAAATGACTACCATAGAATCATCTATCACTTGTACATTATCTTTGTTGTCCATGTTAAAAAAAGCTACAAAGAAAAATACATTAATGTATACGAGATTCAATTTTAAATTTTAGTCACTATACGAATGGTCGAGATTTTTAACAGTCTTTCATCACATTGTTCATCATTTGGGTTTGAAAGAAATTGTGACATGAAAAGACTTAAAGAAGAATATGACATGCTTTAATAAAGTAGCTTTGGAATTTATGGTGTAAGGTGTAGTGTCGTAAATTTGTAATAGAGAAATATCTTAGATTGAATTGCTTTTACGGAGTACCAATAGTGTGGATGCATGGCTAGATATGCAAAGCACAAAGTTAAAAATGAGAAAAAGTATTCTCCATAATTTAGCTTCTTTAGCCGTAAGAACCGTAAGAGGTAAATAACGGAGATATCATCCAAGATAGTCAACCATAATAATTATATAAACTCTTAAATGAATCTGATTTACACTAATTTATTGTGGACCACTAATATTAGAGACACTAGTAATTTTATTAATAAAAAAAAGGTCATTATATTAAAATAAAAGTTATTATGTTGAAATAAAAGTCATTGTGGTATTACAATGTCTATAAGAGGTTAATTTTTATTTTTTAATGAATTTTTTTATATACTAGTCAATATGAAAAATAAAGGTCATTATGTTAAAATTAGGGTCACTTTATTCAACATAACGTCGTACTTCGGGTTCACAATAATATTAAAGGTCACACAAGTTATACTATAGTTACTTACTTTGTTAAAAATAAGGTTACTATGTTAAAAATTAGGTTACTATGTTAAAATTAGGTTACTATGTTTAATATAACATCTGTTGCGTGTGTATAAACCTAAGGTTCACAAAAATATTATTGTAGACCACGTCCACGCAAGTTTTTTCCATAATGTTAAGGATATATTATCCTAATAAGTAGCAATATTGTGATTATGATAAGAGAATTAGTCTGCTTAATTTTTTTTAGACAACCGTGTGATCATCCCAAGTTCACAGTGAAGCTGGGGAACGATCATCTACGGCACCAGTGGTCCGAGAACAAAAGGCAGCTGTTAATCACGCTCTGACCACACGGTCATAATTCATCCACCATACTTGGTTTTCTGTCTCCTTAGAACTCAAGGATACAACGATACGATCCTATAGAACAGATCCTATTCAAGTAAGGTCACTTTATTTATTTATTTATTTATTTTTATTTTTATTTTTTGAAGCAAAGCGGGAAAGGAATTTATTAAATCGTATCGAGGTCAACCAAAGTGTGAATACTTTGGGGGAACTCAGTAGTACAAATGCGCTGCGACTTCACATTAATGTCCACCTAGCAACTAAGTGAGCAATGGTATTACCCACTCGTCTAACATGATTACATTTAAAGAAATTAAACAAGGAACTCATTCTATATATGTCATCTAGGAAAAGGAATCTTGGACTAGCACCCACTTGCTTACTCTGAATTGCCTTGATAACATTAACTGCATCCCCTTCAAGCACTACATTATGGAAGCCTAGCCTGTTCGCAATCTCTAACCCGTAACGAGCTGCCCTAATTTCTGCCAAATCTGCAAACTAGCAGGAGTTATGGTGCTTCACAGCAGCCACCAGCAAAGCATCCAACTCATCCCTTATAGCTACCCCGAAGCAAACCCCCACACCATTCATTACTCGAGCATCAACATTGACTTTAACACAAGAAGCAGGGGGAGGGGACCACCTAGCATAAGACGTGACTGTTTGCACCACAGAGATTACACTCACCTTCTTATTATAAGCTCTATAATCTTCATTAAGCTTTGCAAAACCAGACGCCACACCTACTCATCCATTTCCTGCAGACCCTCAAAAATGGCCTTGTTTCTACAGCACCGCGCTGCCCAGCCAAGAGATGCAAAAATTCCAAGCTGCTCTTTGTCCAATTTCCCAGCCATCCATCTAAACCTTTCAACAAATGAGGTACTTAGGGCATCTCTAATCATGCTCTGAAAGCTGCTATGTCCCAAAATCCGCCTAGCGTATTTGCAATCAAATAAAGCATTCACAATTGTTTCACTTCTAGCTCCACATATCGCACACGCCCCACTTTCACGCATATGGCGTGTTTGGAATACATCCATCACCCCCAAGCTCCCTTTACAAGCCCTCCAGATGAAATGACTTAATTTTGGTGGTCCATCCAATTGCCAAACAAGCTTCCAAAAGTCACTCTCACTAGCACCGAAATACAATTCCTAAGTTCTCATATGCCCAAGTCTGGCCAACCAATACCCTGACCGCACCGTATATAACCCATCAGAAGTAGGCCACCAAAAATGTATGTCACAAGGCCAAATGTTTGAGAGGGGAATGTCAAGAATCGCCCTTTTGTCACTCTCAATAAATGTGGAAGATATTAGTTCAATATTCCAGCAGCCCCTCTCAAAATCAATAAGCTCATTCACTCGCATCTCCAAGTTGCTATTAGCTGACAAAGTAGGAACAAAGTGAGACCCTTTCCCTTCAATCCAAGCGTCCTCCCATACCTTTATTACAGACCCATTACCCCCACGCCACATCAGACCATCAAGCAGCATAGACTTTGCTCCCCATATGCTCCTCCAACTATAGCCAGGATCAAAACCACGTGAAGCATCAATAAAATCAGAATATTAAAGTATCGTGCTTTTAGAACCTTGGACAGCAGGGAATTGGTATCATTACATAACCTCCAAGCTTGTTTCGCAAGCAATGCTTGATTGAAACACTTTAGATCCCGGAATCCTAATCCCCCCATAGACTTGGGTAAGCATAAGGATTCCCATTTATGCCAATGCATTTTCCTCTCCGATCCTCTTGAACCCCACCAAAATCTCGCAAAAGTAGAGTGTATCTCATTAATGAGCCCATCTGGAATACGAAATATGCTCATCATATAGGTCGGAATAGCTTGGGCCACCGCCTTAATTAATACCTCTTTTCCCACCCTAGACATCAATTTCTCCTTCCACCCTCGTAATATCTTCCAAATTCGCTCTTTGAGGCACGTGAATGCTGCTTTCTTTGATCTTCCAATTATAGTCGGGAGTCCCAAATATTTTTCATGCCTATCAACCTCTCGTACCCCAAGAGTATTAACGATTTCCTTTCTTCTCTCAACATTCACACGTTTGCTAAAAGTAGCCTCCGTCTTACTAAGATTAACTTTCTGACCAGACGCTCTTTCATAAGTACTGATAATATCTGCAATTTTAGAGCATTCCTGCAGAGTCGCTTAATTAATTTACTTGTATTTGATTAATTTACGCATAGTTGTTTTAAATTTTATCTTTCCTTTTTAGCTTGATTTAGTTATTTTCTTTTCTATTGCATAGCAATAAGAATTACTACAAGATAGCCGATTAGGAAAGTGTTGCTTTATCCTTTAGTTGGAAATCACAGAAAGTTGTGTGGAGTAATGAAAATGTAATAACAACGAATACACACTCAATAATTAATCATATCTTGGGTATTCACGTTAAGAGGGTAGGCGGTGAAGACATCTTTCACGTTGTTGGGTTTGAGAAGTGTGGAGAACGGTTCAAGAATGCTAAAGGGGTGCATAGCTTTGGTGTTAAGCTATGGATTGTTTGCTTGGTGCAAAGCAACAACGAAAAGTAGGAGCTGACTTCAAATGAGCATATCTCAAGATATAGGAATGATATTGAGATGATTCAAGTTGGAGGTGATAGCTCGTCTGGTCATAAGCTCGATTTGGTCAAGAATTGAGGGAGTTATGGCCGATTTACGAAGAGATGTCCGCGCAGTACGGAAGTTCGACCGAACTGTTGAAAATTTCGGTCGAACCATTTGAAGGAAATCAAGTTTTGCTACTGACTCGAGAGTTCGACCGAACCTCTTGGAGGTTCGACCGAACTCATGGTAGGTTAGGTCGAACCGGTTGCCTCTGTTCCTGCGATGCAATTTCTTTTATTTCGCTCGGGATGTAACCTCATCCATTGATCTTCTTGCACTATATATATACTCATGTTTTGTCATTGTTAGAGAGTAATAGGATGAAGGGAAATATGTAGAGAGAGAGAGAGCCTCAATGTAAAACCCAAAACACTTAGGGTTTGAGTGTTTGAGAGGGTGAGTTTGGGGTGGGACCTTTCATGGTGATTGAAAGCTTGTAATCTACATTGTTGTTCATCAAATTATTACTCCATAGTGGATTGGTGGGTTTCTCTCCCAGTTCTTGGGTTTTCCACGGTAAATTCTCCTTGTCTCGTTTATTACTTGTTTTTCTGTCTTCGTTATTGTTAATTGTCGTTAATCGCAAACTAGCTAGCACATTCATTAATCCTTTCACACGTTGCCAGGGCGGAATAAGACAGAGGTGTGTGTGGGGAGGGGAGAAAGGATTTCAATGCTCCGATTGTGGAAGCGGTGCCGGTTTGCTAGGAACTATGGTAAGGTGCCTATAAAGGGGTATGTTTTGTAGCCAAGTGGTTGTTTCTTGGTGTTTGGAAGGTGGTAGAGGGTGAAATAGAGGGAAAAAAAAATGATAGAGTAGAGAGTAAAACATGGGAAGAAAGAAGATAAGGTGGTGATGATTTGCTCCGTTGTTTGATTTTTGGGAAATAATGGAGGTCTATAAGTTTATAATAATCAACTAAATTTGAAAATGGTGGTGATAATTACTTGTGTGTTGCTTTTGTTGTTTGTTTCTTTTTCTTTTGTATAGAAGGCTACAAAATAATTTTGTTGTTTGTTTTTTTTTAAATTAAAAGTCCGACTAACGGAGATGGAATTCAATTCGTGTTTGATTAATTAATTATGAACACTGATATAGATAATTAAACCCTCACTTGTACATTGTTTTTGTTGTCCATGTTAAAAAAGCCGCACAAAAACATACATTAATGTAGACGAGATTCAATTTTAAATTTTAGTCACTATTCATCATATAAAATAGCTTTGGAATTTATATATGGTGTAAGGTGTAGTGTTGTAAATTTGTAATTGAGAAATATCTTAGATTGAATTGCTTCTACGGAGTACCAATATGTGTGGATGCAAGGCTAGATATGCAAAGCACAAAGCTAAAAATGAGAAAAAAGTATTCTCTATAATTTAGCTTCACTTCGCCGTTAATACCGTAAAATAGGTAAATAATGAAGATAAATATCATCCAAGACAGTCAACAATAATGATAAGGATAATTCATCCTAATAAGTAGCAAAATTGTGATTATGATCAGATAATAATTAATCTGCTTAATTATTGTACTTGTATTTGATTTAATCTACACATATATAGTTGTTATAAATTTGTCTAACCTTTTTAGCTTGATTTAGTTATTTTCTTTTCTATTGTATTTGTATAGCAATAAGAATTATAAGATAGGCAATTAGGTAAGTGTTGCTTTTGTTGGAAATTACAGAAAGTTGTATGGAGTAATTAAAATGTAAGCTTGCATTTTGTTTTAGATCGATTTACCATGAAGTATATGATCGAATAATATAATGCTGTTATTTATAATAAGTTATAAGCTCTAAGTTTCATCTATTCTAATCTTGTTAAAGTTATACAAGTATATAATTTTTAAAAAAGTGAATTAATTACAGCGAATTAGCCACCTTAAAAGCTGTTGGTAGAGAAAATATTTAAACACTCGTATCTTTGACCTCATAAATTAAGGTGTTACCAAATTAAAGAATCCGAAGAGGTAACAAAGAAAATACATGGTTGGAGTATGTACGAAGTATCAAATAAACACAGTGAAAAAAAATGAAAGTTATTAGGGTGTGTTAGGTAAAATTTAACTTTAATTTGAAGGTAGTTATTAACTGCGCAAGTAATTATTAGTAATTAATAAGTTGTTAGCCGTAAAATTAGATAATTATAGTATAGGTGTTTGGTAAGTAGTTACATATACTAATTTGCAACAAAGGAATTTTTTATGTCTCACAAATAATATCCCTTGCTTTATTGTAAATAATATGAAATATATGTAATAAAGTATAGATTAAATCATCAATAGTTACTTTTAAGTATCCAAAGTTATTTTTTAGCTTCCTTCAAAAAAAAAAAAAAAAAGTTAATATTTTAGCTTTTGATAAAAGCTACTTCTACCACTAAAAGATACCCCAACCTCTACATTGCTGAGCTCTCAATTTTTTTTTATTAAGTACCAAAAAGTTACTCAAAATCTAGTGCCAAGCGAGCATACCCTTAAAGTAATGGCCAGGCCAATAGTATAGGCCGGGTGGATGAATGAATAATTGAATATATTCATAAGGAGACGAAATTATATAGTGTTATTATTATTACTAGATAAAGCCTGTACGATCCATGGTTTGTTTGTATTTTTTAAAACAAAATTTTTTGGTATTTATGTGATAAAATTTGTTTGTTTTATATTTTTGGTAAAATTCATAATCTCAAAAGATAATATTTTATATTTAATTAATTTAAACTTTAAAACTTCATTCGCCAATTTTACTTATGTGGCATTTGAATTAATTAATTCTAAAAGAAATTACAAATCTCTTATTTAATTGGCTATAATTAAAATTTATAATCCTACATGGCGCGTTAAATTTTTTAATTCCTACGTGACTCTCTAAAAACTCGGGAAAAAACTCCTCTTTATATATATACTTGTTTTGGCCCGGACGATGCCCTTGATAAAATTTCAGTATAAATTTTTTTACTTGAATGTTAAATAAGGTCTTACAATCCCTTTTGATAATGTAGGATATTTAGACATACGATGTCATATCGCTTATTTAATTAAATAATAGTGTACTTTTTGTAGTTTAGTTTGTGAATATCTATGTTATTATTGATTTGAAATTATTTTTATTGAACTTAAATTGTTTTTTTTTAATTCTCTATTAATTTTTTTTTACATAAATTAAATCTAATATCATATCATATATCACTAATAAATAAAGCCGGTCTCGCAGCCAGGTTACGAGACAGCGACACTTGGCATTCCAGTTTTTCGCCAAGTGTCGCGCCACATAGACGATAAATATGTATTATTGTGACATATATGATGCTAAGTAAGCGATTCTTGGCTAGATTTTTTTACGATAAAATTGTTGTATAGAATTTTATTATCACTATACTTTTAATATTTCATATATACAAAATTAATCATAACTTTTAATAAATATCGTATAACTCGGTTTTATTTCCATCATAAAATTCGTTTCAAAAAGTTCTTTAAAATAATATCCATTTATTATATATTTAATTTAGTTAAAAAAATAAGGAAAATTTGAAAAATACCACCATCTATTGTTGTCATTTTGTACAATATCACCTCAAGGTTTTTATATTGTATTTTACCACCTAGTTTTATTAAAAACACTAAAAACTACCACCACTTTACCCTAACCTCCCTAAATGACGTCATGGTGGGTCCCAATAACCACCTCCCTTTCAATTTCCCTCTCCCTTCTCCCGATTTTTCCCTTGTTCCTTCCTCTTTCTTCTCTTCTTTCAAATTTTAATTCTTTTGGAGTGGAGGGTTGACCCTTTGGATGCATCTTACACCCGGGTGTATATAATTTATTTATTTATTTATTTTTGGAAAATTTGTCAGAAAAAACCTTTTAAAAGCACCATTTTGCGAAAAAAAAACCTTTTAAAAGCTTTTGGTTAAAAAAACCACCACATTCATTTTTTTTGCGAGAGAAAACCTATTTCCTTAATCACCCTCTAATTAACCTCTAACCCACCCAATTACTAAATAATTAGATTTAATTTATATATCAAAAAACCACCACCCCTACAACCAACCAACCACCCCTTCCCCTTCTTCCTCCCTTTCCCCCTCCCCTGGCAGTAACCCCCTCACCCAGCGGACCTGCCACCCAAACCCCCCCACCTCCGGCGACCTACCTTCACCGTTGGTTGACCCTCCCTTTCCCCCTTATCCGCGTTGGCAACCACCACCACCCTTCAATTTTTTGGTTCTAATCTACTTAAACATGCTCAAATCAAGTCCAAAACAATTGTAATTTGCTTCTAAATCACCTTAGCATCACATACATACAAAATCAAAGCCTAAACAAGCATCAATTACAAGCAAGATGCACAAAATTATAAACCCCAAAATCGATTTTCCAGGGTTTTTCAAAATCAAGGAGATGGTTGTCGCCGCGATGATAAGGGGGAAAGGGAGGGTCGTTCGGCGGTGGAGGAGGTCGCCGGGGGTGGGGGGATCTGGGCAGCGGGTCCGATGAGGGAGGGGAGTTGCTGCCATGGGAGAGGGAAAGGGAGGAGGAAGGAGGAGGAAGGGGAGGGGCGGTGGTTTTCCCATTTTATTTTTTTTTATATATAAAAAATCTAATTATTTAATAATTTTGGTGGGTTAGAGGTTAATTAGAAGAAATAAGAAAAATTAGAGTTTAATTAAGTTAATTAGAGGGTGATTAAGGAAATAGGTTTCCTCTCACAAAAAAAAAATGAGCGTGGTAGTTTTTTTTACCCAAAAAGCTTTTAAAAGGTTTCTTTTTTCGCAAAATAATGCTTCTAAAAGGTTTTTTCTGACAAATTTTCCTTCATTTTTTTTTTTAATTAATAGGGTGATTTGAAGACCAAATATGGATGTTATAATTTAACTTCGACCACGACGAGTCCCAGCTTTGATTAAAGTCAACATTTTTTAAAAACGTATAAAGTACAAGCTACTATCGACTTCATTGATAACTGAAGTATTTTTTTAAGCCTTCATAAACTTTAATAAAGTACAGATTAATTGATAACTGAGCTTAATCATTTTTCGTATTGTAAACGTAACATGCATGTAGATAAATCTTGTAATCATTATTCGATATAATCCGTATTACATTTGCAGTATTAAAATTGTCTTGCCTTTAATTTGACAGGAAGACCATTTTTCATCCTTAGAGTTAAAGACATGACATATTGAGGAGATGTCTCTTTTTGTACCATATCCACATCAAATTGCTCCACAACACAAGCTACTATCGACTTCATTTGTAGATACGCCATCTCCTTCCCTAAACAAATCCTTGGACCCGCATGAAAAACAGGATACTTATACAGGTTCTCCGACTTATAAGAACCGTTTTCGTCTATCCATCTTTCGGGTCGAAACATTAAGCAATCGTTGCCCCAAATGCTCTCCATTCTCCCCATACTATAAGTGCAATACGTGACAAGCGAACCCTTCTTAATCTCTGTGCCATCAGGAAACATGTCATCTTCTAAACATGATCTAGTATTTACAGGTACTGGTGGGTATAATCGTAAAGTCTCAGATAATGCTGCATGTAAATAGTTCATTTCTCTTAGATCATTAAAATCATACGTATCCCCGACTTGTTTACCAGCTCTATTCCGAACCTCCCCAACCTCGGACCGAATCTTTGTCAAAACATCGGGATTCTTGGATAACAACCAAAAAAACCAACTTAATACCGAGGACGTTGAATCCCTCCCAGCTAGAATAAAACTTATTACAACATCTCTCAGAAAATTGCAATCTTGTTTTTCACCTGCAGATATAAAACGTGACAACAAATCTTGTGAATTCACATCGCTATTATTATTACTAATATTTTCTCTTGGTATTTCTTCTAACCTCGCCCGTATGATCTTATCCGCAAACCCATGTACGGTCTTGATTGACTCCCTTAACCTCTTCTCCGATCCTACATTAAAAAATCTCTTAACTCTCCATATAAAAGGAAGCATGTACAAGAAACGTGCGGCACTGATCATAGCGGCATCCTCAAAAGCCCGCATAAATTCGGACTCGCCCGACCCGTCACCCGCCAAGCAACCCGGGTCAAAATCGAAGGCCAACTTACAAACATTATCAAAAGAGAACCGCTCGAGAATATTTTGTAAATCCAAAATCCGGTCTGAACCGGATGCTTCTTTAAAAATAGGAATAAGCCGTGTTGTAATTTCAAGCCTTACACTATCTAGAACAAAGTTCTTAAGGGAACGTTTGTTGAACTCAAAGCTGGCAGTTTTACGTTGGTGGCGCCAAAGATGATCGTCGGAGTTAAAGATGCCAGTGCCGAGAAAGTCATAGAGTAAAGAGATGAAACGAGTGCCTTTAGGGTAGTTGTCGAAACGGGTTTTGAGGAAATGTTCGACGTTAGGAGGGTACGCGGTGTAGACATCTTGCACATTGCCAGGACGGTATAAGACGGCGGTGTGTGTGGGGAGGTCAGAAAGGATTTCGAAGGTCCAATCGAGGAAGCGGTGCCGGTTCGCTAAGAACTGTGGTAAGGTGCCTAGGATGGGGTATTTTTTGAAACCAAGGGGTTGTTTTTTGGTGTTTGTAAGGTGGTATAGTGTGAAATATAGTGAAAGAAGAATGATACAGAAGAGAGTAAAATATGGAAAGAAGGAAAATAAGGTAGTCATGATTTGCTCCATTATATTATTTGGATAATAATGAATGAAGAAACTAACTGTTATGTTTTTATAAGTTTATAATCAATTGAATTGCTAACCTGGCTTAGACGGAATTTGACTTTTGATTAATTAATTAATTGAGATGAGGTTACGATTGGCAGCGACCTCACCTCAAAGTAGCTTGAACATACTATGTATACGTTTTGTCAAAAATTGTGGAGATAAACCCTTGTACGTTTCTTTTATTGTTTGATTTAATTGTTTAGAAAGCTGCTAAGAGACGAACATTAATTGTAGACGAGATTTGATTCATAAATTTTAGGTACCATCATGGCACCACGCACCAAGGCACCACTTGATGGTCCAAACTCTATTTATCACTCATTTAGACATTTATTACTCATTTACATTGTTTTCTTGTTTGTGTTTAAAAAGAATTGCGCAATGAAAACAAAACATGTAATTAAGGAATAGTTTCAAATGAATTGCTTTTACCAATTCGGTGGGATGCGGGGGTTGATATGCAAAGCAAAAAGCTAAAAATGAGAAAAAGTATTCTCTAAATTAGCTTATTTAGCCGTAACATTCGTAAGATTGGTAAAAGGAGATAGATATCTGATATCATCCAAGATAGCTAACAATAATGACAAGGATAATTCATCCTAGTAAGTAGCAAATCAAAATCATGATTATGATTACACAATTGATTTGCTTAATTATTTTATTTGATTTACATAGTTGTATCTTTCCTTTCTAGCTTGATATAGCTATAGATGATAGGCGATTTATCTTTGTAATTAAATGCCACCTAAGCTATAATAATCAACAGTTGTGATAAGTTGAAAAAATTACTTAATTTTAATCCTTTTTTTTTTTTGAAACAATAATTTTAATCTCATTTACATGCGAAAAATAATGAATCCAATCAATCATCTAGTCATCCATACCAATAAATAAACTAGCTAGCTTAAATTAAAGTCACGATTACTAAAGGGAAAACTATGCTTTCTCAAACAAAACATTTTCAAACATGAGTCATGTACTACGTAGCCTATAATGCGGTAATACCTATTATGTTCCACAAATATTGCACAATGAGGGGTTTGTACATCTGAATGCACATTCAATCTTAAATATCTTTGTTTAATTATAAAAGAGTTAGATTAATAAAACTAGTTGATATATTAAAAGTATATGTGTCCATACAGATCTAAGAATTCGATTTGTACCTTTGAAGAATTTAGATGATTTTAAAAAAAATATTTTTAATAATCGTAGGCATAATAGTTTTCTTCCTAAAAAATGGGAGAAAATAAAAAGTTAATCTATTTCATTGAAAAAAAAAACCCTTAGTTGGGGATGTTTATGTAAATTGGTCAAGCTGAGTTGGAATACATGCAACAATGACAAACGATATTACTTGGATATGCAAGACCGAGAAATTTTATCAATAACCCAACTATTCATCCAAGCAACAACAACTTCATCAATATAACTAGAACCCACATATTCAACTTTAGACCAACTTCTCTCTTCCTCCATTGTTGAAGATATTTGAAGCTTTAATTTTCTACACTTTTCCACGAAAAAAATTACCCTTAAGGGTTAACCATTTCCCTTAATAATATACATTTTGCATATGGTTTTCTTTAAATTCGGAAGCCGCCAGATTAAGGTGGTGAAAATGGTGGTGATGTGGTTTGTTCTTCCTCTCTCCTCCCCGTCTACGATTTTGAGGTTTTCATGGAAGAATCAATGGTGGTAGAAAATGGAGCCTTTTCGCGATGGTCGAGAAGTTGATTGACAGAGAGATGGTGGTGGTCGTGGTGATCTTTGTTTGGGCGGGCAAGGGCCAAAGGCCCACCTCCTTATAAGTATTTTTGAGTTGTTGATTATAAGAAATATAATGTTTAATAATTGTATATAATAAGTTGTGGCATAGTGGTTAAGTATTCTTATTATTGAGCAGAAAGTTAGGGAACAGACATTATGTCAGTGTCTTTACTTCGATATGACTCCGCGAAAACTTTAGCTGATGTAGCGTAAATATGAGCTGAAGTTTTTATGTTGTTGCGTTAAATTACAAATATTGCCAGGTAATCGATAAAGCTTCTATTTTTGTGTTAAATTACAAAAATTGTCACTTAATTGACAAAGCTGGGGCAGACTCAAAAAATGGTTGTAGGGATACCGTTTCCTTAATTTTAAAAAAAGGGACTAATTAAAGCTAGAAAGTCACATTAACCGAGGAATTCTCTGCCACTAATAACACAGCGATGGTATAACATTGTGTTTAGATGGTATCATCTAAATACCAACAAGAAATTATATCGATACTAACAAAACATTTTTGCATTCATTGGTATCACTGAATAAGTATTTTAGTATCATGATAACATAATCTAAAGTTAAATTTAATGCCAACGCGTGTCAAATTTCTTGAGTTTTTGCCGTGCCAAAACCCCCCAAAAAGTCGGTTATGATTCCCAATTCATTCAATGACCCTGTTTGGTTATTAGCTGTTAGCTAGTTGATATAGCTGATTATATTAATTGGTTTGACTAGCTGATTATATTAGATGATTTGACTAGCTGGTTATAAATAGCTGATTGTGTAAAAATGTTTGGTAAATAACTGTTTATTATTAGCTATTTCAATGTATTTAATACTAAAAACGCTAATTGATCCCAAAAATCTCTTTTAATAAGCTATTTACCAAAACACCAAAAGTAGCTTTTTAAAATGGTCAAACCTTTAAGGGGTCGTTTGGTTCGCAAAGTGGAATCGGAATGGAATGGGGAAAGGGTACGTAGGAGAATGGAATGAAACCCTTAAAATTTAGGGCGTTGTTTGTTAAAATAAAATACAAACGATGATTCCATAGAACCACCACCACAACACCACCATTTAGGGTAATTTTTTGACTTTTTTTTTTTCTGGAATTTGGTTGTTTGGAATTCCGACGGCGACCAGCGAGGTCGGGGGAGGATGGATTGAGGTCGGGGGAGAGCCGACGAAGGTGGAGCGAGGTCGGATGAGGTGTAGCGAGGTCGGGGGATCAGAGAGCCGCGAAGGTGGAGTGAGGTCGGGGGAGAGCCGGCGAAGGTGGAGCGAGGTCGGGGGAGGTGCAGCGAGGTCGGGGGAGAGCCGGCGAAGGTGGAGCGAAGGTCGGGGAGAGCCGGCGACCATCCGACGAGGTTGGTGGGATGTGGGTATTGTTTTGGGGTTTTCTGATGTCCTGCGGGAGAGCTACAATTCCGAGACTGGAACCGGACGCCTGTACCTGCAAAATAACGGAGACTCCTGAGAGCTCCGCCTCCAACGGTCAAGTTAGTACCTGATTAAGGAGTAATTAACACAGAAATTAAAGTAATAAGGTCTCTCTAGGTGAGAGTATTTAATGTAGGTAATCTGCTTTGCTAGCGAGATCAGCCGGTTATTAGTGTGTTCCGTAATGTTTCTCCTCTGTTCTGTTAATTATTCGGTCCCTTGATTAATGAGGATTAATCGAGTATTTATAGCCTTGGGAAGCATGCAACTCTCTAGGTTTAAGGTAAACCTAGGGCCGATCGGGCTTCTAGACTGAAATGGGCCTTGATGGCCGGTTGTCCCATTTGGCATGGGTGGACACGTGGCGTGTCTTAAGTGGTCCGCTTGTCAAACGGCGCTTGGTGGATAAAAATCCCCTAATCATTTGCCCCTCACAGGTGGCACGCGACTGGTCACGTGTCGCCTGTGACAGGTGTCGCACGGTGACAGGCGACGGCCCGTTACAGGTGTCACCTTGCAGACGGCCGGGAGATTCTCCCGCCCAAATTTGAATTCGGAAGCGACCCTTCGCCTTCTCATTTTGCCTATAAAAGGAAGTGCTGACTTCGGTCATTTTCACATTTGAGAATTTTTGCGAGAACATTCGGACCCCTGAACTTGCTCTGACATTTTCGGACTTTTTCTGCCTACCGCCTGTTCTGACAAGCCGACTGACCCGAACTTTCAGGACTTCATCAACTGTCATCCGTTCAGGTAACTCAGTTCTCCTACTTTAAATTTTCTTTTTATTTTTTGAAATGGCACCATGGAAGCACACGACACGCCCTAAGTTAGTGATCAGCCGGTCACCGGGGACGGCTGAATCTAGGACTAGGAGTGCCGCCTGCCCTTTTCTGGACCCATCTTTACCCTTTATACAAAGTCCGACTGAATCTGTGTCTATGCAGAACGTGATGGCCAGAACAAAAAAGACTGCTAGAATATCAAACTCAGACGGCTCCTCCCAAAGGGTACTCCTTAGCGAAACATCTGACCAGGCGCCAGATGTGGAACGAGGCGACTGTCAAGCTGACAGTTCTGAGAGAGGGACCAAGGTGTTCCCTTCTCATCTAACCGTGGACATGTCTAATTTACCTTCTGCTCCTTCTAAGGGAGAGGAGGCGGGCCCCTCTAGGAGAGGGGAGGCGTCGTCCTCTTCGGACTCGTCAGGGGACGAGTCCGATTCCAGCTCTTCTGACCATAGTTCTTCTGACCATAGTTCTTCTGACTCAGAAGAAAAACATAACCGCCTACAAGAGGCGAGAAGTTCCCATGCAGTGGAGAAGGGGGATAATTGGGCAGAGCCGTCCGCCTCTTACAGAGAGGAAAACACCCCCTACTACTGCAGGGTGCCCCGGGGCCGGATCGCAACCATGCGAGACAACGTGGCGAGCTTTATTGCTAACCACAAAATGGGCCCGGAGTATTTACTGTTTGTGCCGGATCCAGAAGATACTGTCGTCTGGCCGGCTGGTACCAGCTATGGTGACGGCTGTTTTGGCTGCTATGTGGCGGCCATCAAAGCTGGTCTGCGCTTCCCATTACATCCGGCTGTTCAGCGGATTTTAGATGGGTATAATCTGGGGTTATGGCAGTTAGCCCCCAACTCTTGGGTAAACGTACTCGGCTATGTGGCCGGGTGCGAACTGAACGGGGTGGAGCCAAGTTTTGAGGCTTTCGCCCACATGAACTATCTCAGCCGGACCCCTAAGTCGGGAGGTACCGGCTGGTATCAAC